AGTACCGAAATGTATGTACCCAAATATATGCACCGAAATGTATTATCTTAAACTAATGTACCTAAATGTATGTACCAAAATGTATTATATTAAACTAATGTATTGAAATGTATTATATTGAATTAATGTACCCAAATGTTTGTATCCAAATGTATATACTGAAATGTGTGTACCTAAATGTATGCACTGAAATGTATTATAATGAATTTAATGAACCTAAATGAAAAAGATAAAGTATATCGAAATATATTGTAAAATAAAAATTAATTTATCTAAATGTTTACAACAAAATATATTACGATGAATGAAATAAAAATTATAATTATAATGAAATAAAATTAATACATTCAAATTAGAAAGAAAAAGAGAAATATTTAAAACATAAAAAATATAATTAATAAATGAGGTGATTAATGTATCAAGGGACTAAAATTAGATTTTGATCTTACTCATAGTTTTAGTTTAAAAATCATCTTTGTCAAGGATTAAAATGAAATTTCCTAAAATATATTATATATGGCAAAAGCAAACCTCCCACATTGCTGAAATGGCAGCTCTGCGCCGGGCTGCTGCTGGTGCTTCACACTTCAACTGCTTGCCAGTTGCCAGCCCCCTCCTTCACTACTACGTATTGTTTGATTTAACAATGGAATTATGATCTCGCGGAGAGAAACAAACAAAACAATTAGGGTTTTCATTTGGGTTATTAATGTAGATCCAGAAACCACACCACATTAAGCTTATAACTGAACGATCTAATATAGCGTTTTCTGTGTATTGTGGCATGAGTGGAAAATGTTGGGATTTCCATTTAAAGTCATAAATGTGTTAGGAATTGGTCAATGAGTTGCAATTGTAGAAGTTGCCTTGAAATGTGTCAGGAAGTGGCAAGTGAGATATTGAGCTCAGTTGAAGATAAAATATTCATGTATTAAACTATGTTGAACTTGATCCATTTTATTATTTATGTATTAATTAAAAGTTATACGGACATAAATTTTACTCCTTATAATTTAAGGGAACTTTAACAAAAAACTTCTAGTACTGTTCACTTTAGCGAAAAATCATATTTTTACACTAAACAGTCAATTCTGGTACTATTCACTTTACTCTTTATTTTATTCTTATCGTTAAAACTCAAAGTTTTCAAGTTTTTTTCATTAGTTTTCCTTATAATTTAAGGGGAAGGAAGGAGGGAGGGAGGCAATGTAGAGAAGGAAGAGTCTTTACGGGTGGAGCCTCATGCCAAACAAGTGAGAACGAAAGCAAATGAAGTGCTGCAACTGAGAAAAGCATCTTTTCCAACGATTTGGAAGTGGCCAAGGAGAAGAAATTGAGCATGGCGAAAAATAAGAGATCACACCATAAGAGTTATTTTCAAGCCATAGATTTTGCCAACCCTACACGTGTGAAAGCTAACTCCACAACATGATGACAACGTGAAGATCTACATAGAAAGATGTATGATGCCCCAAACTCTGGAAAAAGAAAAAAAAAACTAACCCCGCATAATCTCGGAAAATCCCACTACAAGCCGTATAATCTGCGTTAGCCTTAGCAAGCCTATCCAACCCAATAATACACAGTAAGATGCCAAAAAACGGGAACAATAGAAGAAGCTTTACTCAACTTAGCCGAGATCTCAAAAGAGATTAAGAATTACTTATCCAAAACATCGTAGACATGACCAAGAGAGGAGAGGAAGCTCCAGTATGCATATTTCAAGCCGAAATAGAACGACAAAGGGGTAAAAACTAAAGGACCTTGTTTTCAAATTTTACTTTATTACGCATGTTTCAAATAGTCATTAATAAAAAGTATAGAACAAAACTGATTCAGGGTCGATCAATTCTTTTCACTCTTTTTCCTTACATTATCTAAAAACATTTTAGAGAGTGAAAAGCAAACGTAAGTGATAAAAATGCCAGTCCATACCGATTGGGAAACCAAAATATGAGTCCCTCGAGTTAGGTTTAGGAGAAGGAAATTACGATTAGCTACAACAGCCCTTATGTCTCGCCAATATATTAGAAAAAACATCCTATACTAAACCTGAATAATAGCAAAACTGTTGCAACATTTTCAGTACCATGCAGCCATCTTCTGGTAATGCCCACATTGAATTATAGCGTTAAACGAAGATCCAACCTTATTGTTTGATAACAATTCCCTTAATTTCTTTGTACGTGTATGCGAATGAAAATAGAGTTTGATGCAATTTGAGTCTATATCTTATAGAAAAATTGGCTCTTTTTTATTCGCTTTTGGTTATACAAAAATTACAATTCAGATGTCTTCCTAGTTACTTCTTGGTAGAACCGAACAACCTACGTCTTACCAATGAAATCAATATGATCGGAAAAGATCCGAAATAAATATGGATTTATAGATCAAATTTCTTACCAATTGGCAAACAAAGTAACGCTTGTATTCGAAATGTGCTTGATTGCCAAATCCATGGTGGTGGTCATGTCAGAATGTGATATTGATCATTTGAGGGCATCATCTGTACACACTTTCACTTCAAATGGCATTAAGAAGTTGTGCTCCACCCTCGGACGCACTTGCTTCTCTGCATAATCCAACAAGTACCCAATACTAAACTTAAAATCTTAATTATGTACGCCTCTTATATTAATCACCATAAAAAACAGTACAAGGAAAGCATTCTGAGTTGAAAAGTTAAAAGACAGATGTTGGACCCTCTTTGAAGAGAAAAATTTACTTACTGCGGAGATAATATTTTGATTGTATCTTAAACTAGTTATGCATTATTATGTGTTTTAAATTTTTTTGCATAACATCATTTGATTGTGTTTAAATATCTTTGTGACTGCTTTGTAATCCAAAAATGTAACTTTTACCATATTATATATCACATTTATATAGCATCTTTAATAGCGATGAGATTTATATGTGTATTTTACTTTTTCACTTAACAATGTGTAATTATGTTTAAAACCCATCACTCTGTTATCTATATTGAATGAAAGTTCTTTTCTTCCTTGAGAAATAACTCAATGTGCATGCAATGCTAGCTAATCTTAAAGAAAGTGGTCATGACTTTTATCAACAAATAAAAGGCATGCACACATTACTCAATTTTGATCTAAATTATAAAGAGTTGAGAAAACGTGCAAGCTGCAAAAGCTTTATGCAGGCATTATTGCAGTAAATAAACAAGAAAAAAAAAAGTAGCATCTATTTCGGTATACGAATTCATATGAGTTTGAACAAAAAATGAAAAAAGTGTTTTCTTCTTTGAGATTTCCATTTATTCACTAATTTGAGCTGTGTTTCTATCAAAAGGAAACCAAATCATCAAATAGCGCAGAGAATCTGTAAAGTAAGCTACTCCACAAAGGGGCCCAAAAATTGAATAAATTTGGAGTGAGTGATAGAGTGGAGAAAATAAAAATAAATAGAAAAAAAAAAAGACATTGTCGAAAAAATAGTCCTGCGAGTCACTCACTGGAGCAGACCCATCTATTCGTCCGGTCCCCATCGTTCTGAACCAAAAAAATGGCGTCCCTCTCTTCTCACTCTCCACTCACTCTTGATCTGGCGCGGGAAACCGTGGAACTCTCTCTCTCTCTCTCTCTCTCTCCCTCTTTCTAAAACATCAAAATACATTAAAGCGCTTTGCAAAAAAGCAGATGTTAAGTTCTTATTAGAGCCGAGCCGCGTTTTCCAGTGGCAGTACAATCATGACCCCCTTCCCTAATCATGCACATGTTGTACATACTCTTTTCGCTCTCTCTCGAGAAACTTTTTCTCTCTCAGACACGCTATACAAAATGTGACAAATCAAAGTTTACCATTTTGTGGGCTATCTAAATTAAGTGATTAATTAGATTGAAGGGTCTTATTCAATAGCAGTTCCACAACCACGACTTTTCCATCTACTGCTTTTCTGATCTTTCCTTTTAACTGGCCTAGCTCTGTGATCCCTAGCTATATCCTCTCTTTTGTGACTTTCCCTGTTGGAGAATGGCTGCAACCTAAGTGCTCAAAAGTCCAAAAAGCATTCAAAACTCCAAAACCCTATATTATAGTGAGGCATCTAGACAACCTCTAATTTTTGGGTAGAATTTAAAATTTAGGTTTTAAACTAACGAATTATTCTCCAATTGTTAGTTGACAAAAAAAATAAAATAAAAAAATAAAAAATCATTCTTCAGTGGTTGAACTTAAAATAAGTTTTTGATTAAAACTTAAAATTTGAACAAATTTAACTAAGAATTTCGACAAAGTTAAAAGGCTAGCCCACCTTATACGGATGGATGCACCCAGAAAAGTGAAGGTTGTAGTAATGCGACGCGCGCAACGTGCAAGGGTTGACAAGAAGTGAGGCCCGCCCCTGACTAGAATGTCAGCCACCCAAAACAAGCCTAACGGCGCTTTTTCGATTTGACAGTTTTAAATGGTCCACATTCAAACCTATTTATTTTAAATTTTTAAATACATTAAATCCAGCGAATGAGATAAAATATGATCAAATCTAACGGTAGAAAAAAATTTAATGGTTCAAAATTGAATCCAAAGGCTAAAACAATTAACTTTTTTTATATAAATCAAAATTCACCTAAAAACTCTATAAATACATGTTTCACGAGTAGCGTAGTAACTTTTCAACTTTTATTAGTATCTAAATATTTTTAAGTTAAAATCTTTATAAAAGTAAATTATAATAATATACACAAATTTTATTTTAAAAGCAAGTTACCAAAAAAAAAATTTAGCCTAGATTTATATTTTTTTGGCAAAAAGCCTAGATTTATATTTTAATAATTTCGGATTAAAATTTTAATTAAGAATTATTAGAGCAGAAAAAACTGTTTTTATAATAAAACTTTAATTTTCTAGATTAAAAATTTTACATTTTAACTCAAGAGTCGAGAATGATTTTAACTCCTCGATGTGAGTTGAAATTTTTTTCAAAACATATATCAGTAGAATTTGAGCCACTTATCTTTACACTCCCAATTCTTGTAATCAGATTTCAACTTTAATTAGCTTTATATTGGAACGACAAAACCAAACCAGTTCTACTCTTCCGAACTTGTTTTAGTTCTTCTCCAAGGTTTCTCTTTGCCTAAAGTCCGTTCTTTTTTAGCCCATTTGAAATGGGTGACAAAAAAGCAGAAACAACCAAGAAGAACCCACAACAACCCCAGCAGCAGCAGCAGCAACAACAGAAGCAACAGATTTCACCTTCTCCCAATGACCAACAACCGCCGCCAACGGCTGTTAATATCAGTGGAGCAGCAGCTGCAGCTGGTGTCCCCTTCAATATTCCTCCTCCCTTGTTTGTCCCCACCGGTACTCCAACAACCTCGTCTTCATCACCCTTTGATCAGCATCAGTTTGAGGCAGCTGTGAATCCAAAGAGGCCAAGATTTACGAGTACAACCGGACAATGGAAACTTCTTCCTTCACCGTCTTCCCAACAGAAACAACCCCAAGTACCAATTCTGCCCTCAGAATCAACCCCATCTCCAAATAAAAAAAATACTCAATTATCCCAACCCCATGTCTCCACCATCGGAGAAGCTTCCTCCTCCGACACCGCCTCATCGTCGCCGCCGCACTCTCATCTGCCGTCTGTGTCAGCAACGTCAGGGCAGGACCCAAACAAGACAGTAGCAGGAGACCCTCAAAACCCGGTCCACCACCACCACCAGTTCAGAAAAGGAAAGTACGTAAGCCCGGTTTGGAAACCAAACGAGATGCTATGGCTGGCGAGGGCGTGGAGGATTCAGTATCAAGGTGGGGCAGCTGGTGGGTATTCGGATCATGGGTCGGGCTCATCTTCCAGAACAGAGCAGTTACAAACAGAGTCGGGCGGCGCCACCACCACTCCTCACACCAGAGGCAAAACTAGAGGCGACAAGGACATGGAAGTCGCCGACTTCCTTCAGAAGCATGGCATCAACAGAGACGCGAAAACGGCGGGAACCAAGTGGGATAACATGCTGGGAGAGTTTAGAAAGGTTTATGAGTGGGAGAGAGGTTCTGAGAGAGAACAAGTGGGGAAGAGTTACTTCAGGCTTTCGCCGTACGAGAGAAAGCTACATAGGTTGCCTGCTTCTTTCGATGAGGAAGTTTTCGAGGAGCTTTCGCAGTTCATGGGGTCAAGGACGAGAACTCCTCAGAGCAGATTAGGGTCGGTTGGGGACGACAGCCGATCGGCTCTTGTTACGACTAGAAGTCTTCCCCAACCGCCTTCGTTCAAAGAAGACGACTTCCCTCTCTCAGGTACATAGAGGAATGCTGAACCGCTAACTGGTTATATATATAATGCCCACAACACAAGCTGTATACCTAAAATAAACAAAATTTTATGATTAATATCTTTTAACAACGGAGGTTACTGGCTAGTTCATATAACAAGTTAATTAAGCTGTGCCATTTATTTATTGAACTTTTAGTTTGGTTTGATATCTATATATATGTTATTATATGCAGGTAGGGGAAAGCAACTACTGATCATGAGCGGTGAAGGGGAACCGTTTTACCACGGAGGAAGAGGGACTTTTCTAGGGTTTCATCACCATGATCAGTCTTCCATAGACTTTACAACTGGCCTCTCTTCATCTTCTTCCAAGGAGCTTCGTCGAATCGGAAAGATTCGAATGACTTGGGAAGAATCGGTGAGTCTGTGGGCGGAAGAAGGGGAGCACCACAGAGGGAGAGTGAGGCTGCAAGGCTTGAGCTTCTTGAACGCCGACGAGCTCACTTTCTTTGATGATTCCATGGTTGCCTGCAGCATGGAAGCTTTTGAAGATGGCCATTTTGGAGGCTTCTCCGTTGACCGATTCGTATCGGGTCAACAAGTCAAAGTCTTTGGCAGAAGAAAGCCTTCCTCCACTACTTCCGGTGAAAACCAGCTTCTCTAAATTAGATATATAGTCCCATGCCGCAAAATCTTGGTTTATTTATAATTCCACATCTAACACTACGTGTTTAATCAATGTTAATTAGGGTTCAATGAAAAAGTCCAGCTTTCCTTACCAGAATCTTCATCAAGATGTAAGCCCTAAAACCAATTTGAATTTATTTGGTAATGTTGTGTTAACTTTCTTTTGTCCAATTTTTATGTTACACATTGATTTGGTTAAAGGTTGTATTATGTTCTATACAATATTTGCATGTGTATTTTTTGCAGCAATGCCTCCATGGGAATTTCAAGACCCAACGGAGTACTACGTGGGGTGTCTTCGAGTCCCACCGCCATCACTTCCTACCTTACTTGAGCTTCAATGGTACGTACAAGAGCCACCGCCGGAGGAACTCCGTTTCCCACTCCGAAAAGACGTGTACCGCGACTTACCACAAGGGAAAGAGATCTTCTTCACCACCTCAACAGAATTGCTAGACTGTAGAGCCATCACATACGATATTCTAATCCCTATAGTCCGAACCAATCCAAGTCTAGCTGCTGCTACTGCCACAAGTAGAGACTCCTTCATTCCCATTTGGGACGACTGCATCAACCGAATCGTCTCCAAATTTTGTTCACTTGAAATGGTCTTCATCCGCAAGCCTAACTCCTCATCACCGACTGAACCATTACAGGATCAATGGCCAAACCTGACAGGCTTTGTTCGAAATTTTTGTCTATGGAGAGGGGAAGAAGCCCATAATTTAAAAGATGTCCGCGACATTAATCCGTCAAGCTCAATAGTTGAGAAACTTCTGTGGACTTACGTGGATCTTCCTTATATATTAGGGTACTACGCAATCGGTCATGTTGTAACATTTTGTGCATTGAGTCGTGTTCAAGATCGAATAATTCGCACTGATTTGGGCACGGTTGACCTGTCATCGCCCTCGGAGAGACTCAAAGCCCTAGTCCCATGTCACAGAATTGCAAGCCTGTTGCCATTGCTAGCCGATCGATGCTTCAACCCCAGTACTAATTGCAATGGTGGCTCTGACAACATGCTACCTTATAGCGATTTTGAGAGGTTCAACATGGGGAATGGAAATGCAATCGAAATGACGCCAACCACAGTGACTAGATTTTATAGTAACATTCGGAAGGCGACCGCGGTCAAAGAAATCTACGATTTTCTCGGCCAACGAATACCCCATGCAGAGTACATCCACAGATCCTTGGAGAAAGATTTGGCTTTGGTGTTTAAGCCCAGAGGGTGCAAGTTCAAGCCTACAAATTGCAACCAGCTCGTTGAGGCTCTCATGTACGTGACTAAAGCGCTTGTGGCTTTGCACGACTTGTCGTTTATGCATAGGGATATATGTTGGGAGAAAGTGATTAGGAATGAGAGGGACAACGAGTGGTTTGTCTGCGGCTTCGAAGAGGCGGTCGGGGCTCCGCAGATATACCCGCACAAGTCGGTGATGGCGGGAGATGCGGCGGCGCGTGGGAGGCATGCGCCGGAAATGGAGAGAGGGTTGCATGGTGTGAAGGTGGACGTATGGGGAGTAGGGAATCTGGTGAGGAGTTGCGGGTTGACAGGTGTTCCGAAGATGCTGAGGGAGCTCCAAAACCGGTGTTTAGATCAGAACCCGGAGAAGAGGCCAACTGCAGCCGACTGCTACCACCACCTGCTGCAGCTGCAATCGTCTCTGCAGTCAGCCACAGCTGGTGGAGTTTTGATGTGACCGCGACTCTCTCTTATCTCTCTCAAAAATACATTATTAATTAATTAATTAATTGGATTTTGTTTTTCGTTATGTGTTGTCTTTATGGAGGGACACGTTTTGGTTGGATGCTTGGAGAAATTTTTAATTCCGACAGGAACATAAGTGGTACGCAATATGTTTTTAAGTAAGTGGTGTAAAATTTTATTTTTTAAGTTATTAATTTTTTAATATATATTTTCTCATTTGTATAATAACACGTGATGTATTATTTTATGTGTCGATTATATTGAAAAATAATTGGTTTTTATAGATACCTTAAAAAAGAAGAAAAGGGCTTGGTTTCTAGGTTTGTGTGGGAGGCGAAATGGCGGCGGTTGCAGAAGCTGCCACTGGCTGGTGCCTGCTTCGACGGTTAGTTCCATCAAATCAAAGGGTCAGAAATGCAGTTTGCGGAAGACGCACTGAAAACTGAAAGCTGATGCCTGATGGGTATTCTTCACAAGTTCACATATTTTTAGAAATTATTTGAGGGTTTTGATAGGTGCGTACGTCTGGGAATGGGCTTGGATATATGATCGATTAGGGTTTATATAGGATAAGGCATAGTTTTGTTTGGACATATACATATGCTCTTCTTTTAGGGTGTATTTACTAATCTGTAATCAAATTGAGAGGGATTGAATTGAGAAGAAATTAAAATGAGATGGAATTAGAATCAGATTCTTGTTGAAGTTGTTTATTAAAACTGTCTGGAATTAGAGTAGGAATGATATTGAGTTCATATAAGTTGTTTACTTATTCATTTTAGTAGGAATGAAAACTAGGTTGATTACTATATTGTCCTTACAATAATTTTTTTTCATACAAATTAATTATATTAAATTCGTAATTAAATTTATATAATAAAATTCATCTATATAAAATATATAAATGAGTTTTATTTATTTATTAAAAGATGGCATAAATGATGTTGAGTCTATAAAAATTGTTTACTAATTTACTTCAATTGGAATGAAAACTAGGTTGATTACTAAATTGCCTTTACATAAATAAATTATTTTCATACTAATTAATTAAATTAAATTCTTAATTAATTTTATATAATAAAATTCACCTATATAAAAATATAAAAATGGGTTTTATTTATTTATTTAAAGATGACATAATGAGTGTCAAATGAAGGACAGTGTTGGAATAATTAGAAACAAATGAGGGTATAATTGGTAGAAGAAATCCATTCTGGATTCCTCAAGTGTCAAGGAATTGAAATACCTCCCTCATGTAAGGAGTCCAATTCCTCCAAAATTAGGAGTTGGATTCTTTAATATGTGTGGACCCCACATGTATTTTAATTATCCAAAATTACGTAAACAAAAGTGTATCCCGTAATCGGAATCCAATTCCGTAAATTGATTCCGATTACGGGTATGTAAACGTGTCATAAAGTCTTTTAACCGGATTGCAGAATTTTGAGTTCCCTAATGACTCTATTTTGTTTCTTTATTTATTCTCTTTGATAGCTATATATTATAGGGAGTTTTAATGAAAAGTCCGCGGTACTGTTCACTTTAACAAAAAATCACATTTTTACACTAAAAAGTCAAACTTGATACTATTCATTTTATCTTTTATTTTGTCCTTATCGTTAAAACTCAAAGTTTTCAAGTCATTTTCATTAGTTTTCCTTATATTATATGACATTGAATTCAACACAATTATCGTATTTGTTGGCACATTCTTAATATAAGTGGATATTACTTGCATAAAGTCGTAAAATTTGTACGTATTTTTTGTTCTTCACCAAAATCTTACACATTCTTTTTTGGTACGGTTTTTCTCTTAATCTTATGTAATTCTTAAAACCTTCCAAACAATTGCTGCCCTAGAAACAAAAAAAGAAACCCTCATCACCAATTGCCGACCCCTCGTGGCATGGAGGAAGATTCTCTACCCTTTTAATATCTCTACCTTTCCATGCCCTCTTATTTGAACAGTCACGGTTAAGTCACATTAACATCTTATATTGATTTTTTTTATAGAGATAATAAGACAAAAAACAATGTGTGAGAGGAGAGGATGGAAAGAGATGGAAATAAGAGGATAGAGAATCCTCCTCCTGGCATTAGGGTCGGTGGCAGTCTTTTCTTATGTCTTCTAACATAGGAGAAAATCGAGAATCTCCAAGAGGCGGATGAGATAACCTCGGAATCATTCAAACAAAAGCAACAGAATCGTTCAACGTTGCTAATCGTGGATTCGTTCAACATGATGAAGTCTAATACTTGATTTAAAGAAGGAGAAGACTCTCTTCTTAGATTACTTTTAAAGGAAAATTAATGAAAATAACTTGAAAACTTTGAGTTTTAACGATAAGGACAAAATCAATGGTAAAGTGAATAGTATCAAGATTGATTTTTTAGTGTAAAAATGTGGTTTTTCGTTAAAGTGAATAGTACCAGGAGTATTTTGTTAAAAATTCCCTACTTTTAATTTACTAATTGACTACTTAATCTTACATATGGAGCCCTTTAAATATGAGGGTACCTTAAAAGGTTGGATAGACAATTAATAACATATTATAGTTACAATGCAACTTGTAATTAAAAGATATTGTTTTGATGTGCTTTTAAAATGACTGAAAGCGCTTTTGGTGTAAATATTTTTAGAACAAATCCTTAATAAAAATACAAGTAAATCTTGAAGAAAAAACACTTAAAGTGCTTCTTGGAATAATTGGTGTTTCATGCAAAAAACAATTTAAGTGCTTTTGGAATCCAAAAATATTTTCTCTAAAAACGTTTTTAGTCATTTTCAAAAGACATCCAAACAAGCTAATAGATAAAAGCAAGGCTTTGATAGATGAGAAGCCACCAACATCTATATTTAATATAGGGACCATATTTATTGTAGTGCCTACATCATATTCCTCCGTCTCCCTTTGTCTTCTGTCTTTTCTCTATCTCCGTTTTTATGGAGTGTAGTCTTCTTTATATCTCTCTGTTGAACTGGGAACCGCCGGACGAGAGTCCCAATTCTCGATTTTCTGTCGTGGTAGGCCTAAGCTCGGTCTCAGATTGGGCGTTTGGTTTCCCTTCTTTTAGTCTTTCGCTCATCTCACATAGATTTTTAGTTTGCTGCACCAGATTCAGTTTAGCCCAAAAAATATCTCTAAACACTAACCTTAACAACTTGGATCTCCTTCCTTTGTGCCTTACACAACTAATCTCTTCTACCCTCTCATCCTCTACCCACAAAATTTTCAATTGCCTACTAGATACTTTCTTTCGATTGAGAAGCCTTATCTGGCTATGGTGTTTGCTACCCACTTTGAGAACGAGTTGTCTCTCACTCAGATGAAGGTATGCAAAACTACTTTGGTGGTTCGGGTCTTTGCGCTGCCTTCTTCTATGGTTTTGATGGTGTTTTGTCTAATTAATTTGTTGGCATCAAAATTTTCCCTTTGCTGGTCTTTGGGTGGTGGATATGGTTGCTGGTGTTGGTTGAGTTTTTTAGACACAATTTTATGTATTTGTGGATATTTGTTGAAATCAGGAATTAGTTTTGTTTTTCAATTAGGGTTGTTCCGTATCTACGTTTTTGTTTTGGGTCATTGTGTTGGTGTCGACAGTGAATTAGTTGACCAAAACGATGGTGCATGTGGTTGTGGCGATGACGATTTGTATCAATACACCGAGTATGATTGGATCATTATGTGCTTTGCTTGGGCTTCTATGTTCACTTGGTTTATTTACATCTTTTTTTATAATGTTTATCTCTAGTTACATTTTCTTTTTTATCAATGAAGGATGTTTGACAAAAAAAATGATTACAAAAAAATATCTAAGCTTTTTTTTTTCTTTCTCTTTGTAAAGAAAGACAATTGGTGGCAAGTCACGATTATCCATCATTTCCAGGCCTTGAGAAGCTATGTAGAATTTCATCCTGCCCCTGACCACAATCAAGCTTTTGGGGTGATTCCAAATAGTCTCAACATTTTAAAACATTCTAAATAACTATTTAACATTTTGAAAATTAGACATCTGATAGGTCACCAAGCGACTTTACCAACATTAAATGATGACGTTACTAACATTAAATGATGAGGTAGACAAATACTAAAGTTGATTTTCACTAGTTGATGTCTTTGGAGTTCTAATCCCCCAAATTGACCCATTTTAGCTAAGTTAAACCATAGATTTGCTTAGCTAAATGATGTCAATTTGGAGATTTAAATCTCCATAAATGACTCAAGAGTTAAAATACATTCAATATTTATCCATGCCATCACTGAACACTAGTGAACCTAATAAATGTCAATTTTTTAAAAAACTTTAGGTAGTTATTTGGAATGTTTTAAAAGATTATGACCAATTTGGAATCACCCATAAAAGTTGGATAGTTTTCGGTACTTAACCCGTAACCCTTAATAAAGATACAACAGTCACAATTCAATGTTGATTTTTATATTAATAAAATGATATTTATGTTTTTTTTTTACAACAATAATCTTCTTTTTTTTTTTCTTTTTTTTTTGTCGAAGGGCAAATCTTTATTAAATACGAATTGAAAAGTTTACATTATTAACTAGACTATTAAAAAAGAAATATGGGCCAATACAATCTCAGTTAAACGACCCCGCATGGGTTTATATGCGCCGCTCGGTTACCTTCTCTACAAGTAAACTCGAACGAAACAATCCCAACTTCATTTGCCGACGCCCGGATGTCATATAAAATGTTTTCCATTGCTACATCCACACTGTTTATCCTTTTTGCCATTCGAATCACCACCTGCAAGTCAGATTCAACAACCACCTTCCTATATCCCTCCTGCCGACAGAACCATAACGCCTCCCTAATAGCAGCCGCCTCTGCCATCACAGCAGAGGACGCCTGCAATTGCCCGACCCCTCCAGCAGCAACCAACAAACCAGCAAAATCTCGCAGCACCCACCCCGCAGCCCCCCCCTATGCCGTTTACTGCACCAAGCAGCGTCGCAGTTCAGTTTATATGCGCCAAATTTCGGTTTTTTCCAGCCACCTCGCACCCCCTCCTTCTCCCCCGCTGCTCTCCTTCCCCCTGAAGACCCTTCAACTGCTGCACCCTTCATACTCCCCCTGAACTCCACCACCTGCTGCCTCCACAGTTCTAGCGCCTCCGTAGGATGACAACTTTGTTTATTAAAT